CAAGATGACTGAATGATCAAAAGCAATGTCAAACTGGCCAAAACACTCAATTTCAGTGGGGGTTGAATAATTTTGGACACAACTGTATTTCCTATAACACCCTTGACCCCCAGAGTGTTTTTATTTTTTTTTTTTCATTTCGACTTTAATTTGATAGCAGGTTTGGATACATATATTTTTATTTTCTGCTGATTCAAAAGCTATCGCATCAGTGATTTTTATGTAATATAACGAAATGGTAAAGCTCAAAGCGAAGGTTTGCAATGAACTTTCAGACAGAATTATTCCACTTCTGCTTTTACATCGCATTGCATGTAATAATAGGCTCGCTTCATTGGTTAGCATAACATTCAGATAACTTTAAGTCGGGTTGCTGGGGGCACAAATGATGATTTGCGATCACTAACATTCGTGTTCACCAATTAATTTTTTTTTTTAACTCTTTTAATTTTTAATTACATTTTTAAATTTGTTTCACATTAAAAGTTTTTTTTTTTCTTCATAGGGGTCTGGATCTGATAAGTGGAGACCTGATCCAGCCATTCAATGCAGCTGTGAATCAAGAGATCCCTTCCAGTAGTGATCTACTGTTGGCTGTGATTGGCCGGAAATAGATCACTATAGGAGTGATCTATTGCTGCAGAAATAGGCAAGTAAGGGCTGCTTCTGTTCCATCCAAGACACCGTATATGAGGAAGTGGCATGACACAACATACATTGTTCCTTCATATTTAAAGGCATTGGATTTGGAGTCATCCGCTTCAAACGCTTCTGTAGATCACTGTATAGCAAGATCAGAAGTTCATGAGCTGACCGTTTTAGCTCCTGAGCTTAATGCTGGAGGCCAACTGTCACTGACAGCCAGTGTCGTAGATATGGAGGTACCACCAGTCCTCCTGTATGGGGTCCAGGCCAGCAGAGGGGCCCAGGCAGCTGGGTGAATCAGATGGGGCAGGGAGGGTGATCGGCATGGCCAGGGGCAATTACTGGAATCAATTTCCTGTACGGTTCTCTCTCTTTGTAGCAGAGAGAAAGTTGGCTTCTTCTCCTGTTCCTCCTGCTTTCAACTGCTGCAGAGAGAGGCACACAGGGGTTCCAGTAATAGCTCTCCCCCCCTCCGCCACATCTATCACCCTCCCTGTGCACCATACGTTTCCCACTTCTGTCCAGGCCCCCACCCCCCCGCAGTGCTGCTGGCTTCGCACCTCTCCTTCCCACCGGCAGCTGCAAGCACACAATAGGATCCTTCAGGATGGAAAGTGGGGGAAGCAGCCAGTAAATATGTCATATTTACCAGCCCCTTCTTTTTTTCCTGATTGAACACAATGAATGATCAGTATTGATCACTCGCTGTGTTCATTCATAACTGGAGCATAGTAAACTGTGGCGGTTTTTTGGGGCGGGGGGGTTTGGGGGGGTGGCTGTCAGGTTGGCTGTATTGAGCCCTGTGGTTTCTAGCCTGCTGAAAGCTGGCAGTTCCAACCTAAATGTTGAGTGTCACCCACATGAGCCAATGAGTTCTGAAGCCGTTTGAAAAGATCACTCAGTATTTTTGTGGTTAAAGAGACAGAAAATGTAGAAAAGTGTATGATTTGCAGAGACCTACTGCATATGCTTTTAAATAGTCACTCAACTGTTATGTCCTACTGGTAGCCAATACCAACACATGGACACCATCCTCATTCCAAAAATCTGCATTTTGTTATAAAACATACTGTCCTGCATCATACAACACAAATTTATTTAATTTAAAATATTAATAATTAATCTAAAAAATGAAATATTCTCAGTCACCTACTTAAAGCATAGGATTTCCCATCTTCGCACTTATGGGGCTTATATTCGCCTAGGAAGTTCTCGTAGTAGAAGGGAAGCCTCACGCTGGTCATGTGACATCCGATGTGTCGGAAATATTCCTCCACTTCTCCTTTGCCATCAAAGTGATGGACGCCCAGTTTTCCACTGGTCAGCTTTTTCACGTTCTCAAGACCGCTGTAAACCACATGCTTCAGGCCAAGGCGCTTGGCAAGATCGGCTACCAATTTTCCCTTGGAGAGAGGTGGACAAAAATAGTTTCTCACAGTTGAGGGAAACAGACTGACATCTGAGATCATAAGACTCTTATATGGTCAGTTCGACCAGAAGCCATATTACAAGGAAGCGTTTATTGACACAAAAAGTAAAAAAAAAAAAAAAAAGCCATTTGTACCTCTCAATCTGAAAAAGGGAAATCTTTTGGCACAGAATATTTAGATGAAGGACACACCATGTCACCACCAGATGCCATGAATCAACAAACAGCAAAATACACATGTGAAATACACATATAGGAGCTGATTCATCTGCCAAAGGATTTGCCTTACTGTCCATCCAGTCCTGAGATTCCCACAGCTCTGTCCCACAGCACAGCTTTGTCTAACAGGGTACGAGACCTGATGGTTATCTGCTGCAGTTCAGCAACACTTAAAGGTTTTGTCCCTTCTCTAGCCTGTGAATGGACAGGAAAAGGAGTAGCAGTAGACTGAGCTCACCACTGTCACTTTGCGCTCTCCTCCTATCAACTTGCTCCTTGTTGGCACAACTGATTGGCTGCATGAGCCGCTTCTCCATCTCCCAGTCTGAGCTTAACAGTGTTTTCAGACAAGACTTATATATTGTTCACATAAGATTCCATTAAAAAATGTCTGTTGGGTGCAGGGGTGGACTGACAACTCATGGGGCCCCCAGGCAATAGGGGATCATGGGGCCCCTGTGTCCTTGCCCAAACTCAAAAAAGCCTATGAAAAAGGTACCAGGGGCATCTCATGGGGCCCCCTACTGACACTGGACCCTCGGGCAGTGCCCGAGTTTCCAAATGGTCAGTCCACCCCTGGTTGGGTGAAAGCTGTATGTATCCTGGGTAAAAACATTAATAAATAGACCCCGAGGCAGGCGTATGTTAAATCCACTCTGGCTTTATTCACCTCTACTCTTCCTTATATTAGCATTTGAAAATAATGCAAACAATAAACTATAGGATAGACTAAATCTTGCAATTTCCATTAGAGTTTACCTGGGTGATTTCCTTGTTATGGTCAGAGTGCTGGTCTGACGCATTGGTGACCACAAAAGCTCCATGAGCACCTTTTAGCGCAGCTTCCAAACTCTTCTCATGATCCAGATCCCCAACTACCACCTCCGCGCCGGCTGCCTTCAGCTTCGCAGCAGCCGGTTGGCTGGGGTCCCGGGTCACTGCCCTGACCGCAAAGGTGCAGTCTTGCAGGAGAGCACAAGCCACTGAATTACCCTGGGCACCTGCAGGAAAAAGTGACCCCATTATTTTAATATTTTAATTATATGACAAGCATGGTAGGCAGAGCCAGCCCTTCGCTTCTTATTTATCTTAAACCCTTGAAATAGTTTGAACATTTTAGGGAACCTGTGATAAAAATTATCTACTGCTCACAGTACGTTAGTATGACCAGTAGGTTGTAGAGTTATTAAAAAAAATGGTGCTCTATCTAATCATGAAATTACAGTAATAACCAATGTACTGATCAGAAAGAAAAAAGTGAAAATTCCCTTCTATATTGGAGAGTCAGTGGAGAAATGTCTCCTTAGATTGGTAATCAATGAACCACGATTGCATTATAGGTGTGCAGAAAAGGGCTTCTTACATTTGTGGTCAATGACCTGAAGGACATCTCCCATTGGTGGATAAGTGGAGGAAGAATATCCTTTACTTTAATCAGTGGAGGATTACATCCTCCTTACATCTCCTTAGGTTAGCAGTCGGTGGAGAAAAGCCCCACTTACATTGTGGGTCAGCAGAGAAGGACTTCTTACATATTTGGTCAATGAGCCAAGGGACACCTCACATTAGTGGACACCTAGAGGAAGACTACCCTTTACTTTAATGGATGGTTAGTGGAGAAGCCCCCCCCCCCCTTTTACATCTCCTTAGATAGTCAGTAGAGAAGGATCCCACTTATATTGAAGGTCAACAGAGAAGACTTCTCAGATTTATGGTCAATGAGCCACGGACATCATACAATGGTGGACAACTGGAGGAAGAATGTCCTTTACTTTAATTATCAATGGAGAAGCCCCCTGGCCCCTGACTGTAATTGTCATTGAAGAAATGCTTCCTTAGATTGGTGGTCAGTGAAGAAACAGCCCACTTACATTATAGGTCAGCAGAGTGGGGCTTCTTATGTTTACAGCCAATTAGCTAAAAGATCTCACAATGGTGGACAGCTGGAGGAAGAATGTCTTTTACGTTAATGATCAGTGGAGAAGCCCCCTGGCCCCTTACATTAATGGTCATTGAAGAAATGTCTTCTTAGATTGGTGGTCAGTGAAGAAGGGTCCCACTTACATTATAGGTCAGCAGAGTGGGGCTTCTTACATTTACAGTCAATGAGACATCTCACATTGGTGGGCAGCTGCAGGAAGAATATTCTTTACTCACGCCCCTCTCACATCTTACATTGATGGTCAGTGGACAAGAATCCTCACACTTGTGGACCATAGGAGGCAGAATGCCCTTTACATTAGTGGTTACTTTAAAGATTACTTAAGGAACCCCTAGCAACCTCTGAAGGAACCCTAGGCTTCCACAAAACCCTGTTGAGAAAGATAGTCTTGGGTACTTGAACAGTAAGATTTCCCTGCCATAATTCCTGCCCACCTGGGAGTTTTGACTTTTCCTGTCCATCTTTGCGTGTTCCAGCTCCACCTGTTACATTCTCCATAATATAAAATAAATAGAAAAAACTATCAGCAAGAGTGGGAGATCCTCAACAGTTACAACTGGTGTGCAGACCCAGGAACTTGCAGGGATTGTACTAATAGAGTCCCAGAATGTGAGAAGACATTGTCTGATGGTTGAACTCTCCAGATGCTACTAAACACTGAACTATGAGTTTTGGGTAGATGAAGCTACATAATAACAATGCTACAGGTCAACAGTGTTAGCCACCGAGCCTCTGTGCTGTTGAAACAGTCAGTCATTTACTTACCAGTGGCTCCGAAGACCACGATGATTTCCTTTCCAGCCATGGCGAATGAGATAAGAGGCGAGTGGTAATACGTTAACCAGAAGACAAAGAACCCTGAGCTTTATATAAAATTAGGGTGCCCCCTCCTTCTCTCACCAGTCTATTCATGAGAACCATGTGACTCAGCAACGCAAATATTTCCCAGGCCAAAAAGTTGAAGCTGGTCCAGATCTCCAGGGTTTAGAATGTAGCGCTTTGTTTTCTAATTCCATAGCCAATTATGTATTGATCCCTGTGCACACAATCCAGGGTGCAGTGTTTTACCTGTGGAAGCCCGCCAACCAATTGGTGCCTTCGTGGTTGAGATACAGCACTCTTCCATAACGTTATTGTGGAGGTGATGAGAACGATGGGCAAAAAAGAAGGATTATAAATTACTGAAGCAAACAGTCACCAGGCATGGTTCTATATGTTAAGATATGAATGGTTTCATTGTGTGTACTTTAGGATTATCTGTCCATGGAGAATGTAAAAATTACAAGAAAAAATTAAAGCTTAACTCCAGGAAAAACAATGAATGTAGGTGGACAATGGCCATCTTGTGGCTTTATTCAACCATACCACCTATGACCATCAATTCATCCATCAAGGTTGGTTAAATAATGCCCCTTCCCCTGCGTCTCCAATTCAAAATGCTGACAGCCAATGCCCTCCCATAGCACAGGGTGACCAGTGGTGTAAACAACCCTTCGTGGTTGATTGAGTAGGTGGGTTCTTTCTGCAGATCCCCTTAGGTCTTTATCTGCCTGTGAATTCCCCCTCCCTGGATTATGGTCTAGTCCTGCTTAGCCAATGAGCACCACCCATAAATCCTCTCAAGGCTCTATGGAGTTAATTTACTAAAGCTGGTTCACTCAGAATCTGGTGCACCTGTGCATGGTAGCCAATCAGCTTCTAACCTCAGCTTGTTCAATTAGTCTTTATCAATAAAACCTGGAAGCTGATTGGTTTCTATGCAGAAATGCACCAGATTCTGAGTGAATTAGCTTTAGTAAATGAACCCTTATGTGTCTAGGCACCATAGAGCATCGGTTAGCGGCCAAAGAGACATGACTAAGGGCACCTTACAGATCCCCCCTCCCTGCGACTGGAGATATACCAAACGTTTGCAGATGAATGATAACATCATGGCAAGTAAAGGTATGGGCGTTTGCCATTGCAAGCATTACGATGGATACTGACTCTGCCCACATTGAAGAAAACATATTTTAAATATATTTTTTTAAATATTCTTCTCAAATATATTGACATATATTTGAAACACTACTATTTTGGCCATATTCAATATATTAAAAAAAAAAAAATATATATATATATATATATATATATATATATATATATGTGTGTGCAATGCCTATGAAATGTGTTGGCCTTGGACCTGTTGTTTCTTGGGTAATTTTTACAATAAAGCATCGTTGCGTAAATGCCAGGGTCATGAGAGGTGACTTGATGTCATTTCTTTAGCCAAAGGACCAGAGTCACAAGATATTCTGCTGAGAGCAAGATAACGACTTGTTTATGGAATGAACCGTGTTTAGGACATCTAGTGACCTGTTTAAGGACATCTAAGTTCTAAATTCTTAAGTCTGGGGAGATGAAAAGAGGTATTGGGGTAGATAAGAAAAGTGTGACTTTCAGATAACGCATATGGTGGTTGAACATGACTGTTATCCTAATGGAACCCTTCTGCTAGCCCCTCCCATGGTGGGTGTGGTGCCACCCACTATTGGACTGCTTCCAGAAAAAGGGTTTATAAGGTGAAGGTCCGGCAAGACCAGTGGAAGCTCCCCTAGTGGCCAGAGGACGCTCTGACGCTGGGATTTTTACCAAGGCTATATGGGCTCATCAACTGGTCGCGCCTATGGCTTCTCAGTGACCCCCTAGGCAGTTTGGTTCCGATGGGATTTGTTCCTCCCAGCTTCCACATAGCTTCGGTAATGTATTAATTGTATGCTGTGACGCTGTCAAATGATGTGTCTATTTCATGCTGTGATGCTCACATTATTATTGGTGTGTGTTATAATGCAGATTTTGATGGCTATAAGATATATCCTCCTGTGTGTCGTGTGATAATAAAAGTGGAGGTTTTGACAGTGTAAGAATATTGCAGTTGGATTCTGTTATTTCTTGGAGTGCCGGGTGAATGCTATGATGTGCCAGGGCAGGTATTCATTGGGCAGTTGGTCTTTCACAATGCATAGAACATGCAATGGTTTAACCGGTTACCGCCCGCCCCAATAGCACAAAGGCAGCTGGGTGAACAGCTCGTCCGTCCATATGGCGCCCTTTCAGGCAAGCGCAGTGCGCCTGCCCACAGGGCCGTTTTGCGGCCCGATCTGTCACCGGCCGTGTACCTCGCACAAGGCAGATGACAGATCTGTGTACCGTCCCAGTACCATGTGACCTGCTGTGACCAATCACAGCAGGTCAGATGACAGTTGTATACAATGGACGGCTTCCTTTCATGCCATCCATTGTATACAAGTGTGTCTAGCTGTGAATGGCGATCACATGCTCAAGCTGGGCAAAGCTGTGTCATTTGATTAGCCGTGGCCAAATCACAGCTAAGCACAAAAAAAAAAAAAACCCTGAATGAATCGATGTCATTCAGGTACCTGCTTGCTTATAGCAAAGTAATTCTTTGCTATAAGCAAATTGTGTAAAAAAAAAAAACACTGATCACTTCCCCAAAGCAGTACAATGTTACTATGGTAACATTATACTACTTTGGTCATAGTGAAATATAAAAAAGAAATCTTAAAAAAGAGAAAAAAATGTAATAAAAAATTTAAATTAATAAACAAATAAAAAAAAATTTAAAAAAATATAATTTTTTTTTTCGTACTGTGACCAGTCAGTGTCCCTGATCACCGCCATGCCAGTTATATGATGACGCTGTACTGCACTGGTGACAATATGTAAAAAAAAAATAGTAAAAATAATTTTTTTAATTTTTTCATTTTCTGAAAAAGTATGACAAACAAATTACAACTTCAAAAAATTCACCAAGCCTCTTATGAAGTACGTCGGACTGTCTGCTTTGCAAAAAGGGGTCATTTGGGGGATATCTGTACTATTCTGACATTCTTTGACCTCAAAAAATTAGATTGGCCGTCAGTACTTCAGGACTGATCAATATTCAGATCTATACCATAGTTTGTGAACTCTATAATTTTCCTACAAACTAAATAATACATCCTAATTTGGGTTATTTTCACCAAAGACATGTAGCAGAATACATCTCGGCCTAAATTTATGAAGAACAATTATTTGTTTGCAAACTTTTTTAACAGAAACAAAGAAAAACGTGTTTTTTTTTTTTCAAAATGTTCGGTCTTTTTTTGTTAATTTAGCAAAAAATAAAAACCCCAGTGTTGCTTAAATACCACCAAAATAAAGCTCTATTTGTGTGAAGAAAATGATAAAATTTTAGTTTGGGTACAATGTTGTATGACCGCGCAATTGTCATTCAAAGTGTGAGAGCGCTGAAACCTGAAAACTGGCCTGGGCAGGAAGGGGTAAAAGTGCCCGGTATGGAAGCGGTTAAATGCTGATTAAAAGTACCTGCATGACTGCATGTTGATTGTGTGCATGTATATGACTTGTTTTTAGTAATTGCACCCAGCATCACTATTACAATATATATATATACACACACTGTATGTTGAAATGCGTTTGTTATATATTACAAAGTAAATTAAAAATATTTTTAAAAATATATTTTCGAAATATACTGTATGTCTTTAAAAATACATTTAATCTACGATTTTGGAATACATTTACAAATATATATTAAAATTACTCTTTTATATGTTAAAGAAAATCTGAAGAATATATTTAAAAATAATTTATTTAGTATATTAAAAATATTATTCATATATTATTAATTATTAATATTAAAAATTATTATTATTAATATATAAAAAATGCATATATATATATATATATATATATATATATATATATATATATACACACACATATATATATATACACATACATACACATACAGTATGTATATATATATTTTGAAATATATTGAATACGGCCAAACTTGTAGTACTTCAAGTATATGTCAATATATTTGGGAAGAATATTTTTAAAATATATTTAATATATATTTTTCTTCCATGTGAGCAGAGTCAGTATCCATCATTAACATATAAAAAAGTTATTTTAACATATATTTTTACATGTATTTGTAAATGCATTACAAAAATGTAGATTCCATGTATTTTTAAAGACATACAGTATATTTGAACATTTATTTTTAAAAATACTCTTCATATATTTTGTAATATCTAAAAAACGCATTTCAACATACAGTATATATATATACAGTGTATATACAGTGGGGCAAAAAAGTATTTAGTTAGCCACCAATTGTGCAAGTTCTCCCACTTACAAAGATGAGAGAGGCCTGTAATTGGCATCATAGGTAGACCTCAACTATGAGAGACAAAATGAGAAAACAAATCCAGACAATCACATTGGCTGATCTGGAAAGAATTTATTTGCAAATTATGGTGGAAAATAAGTATTTGGTCACCTACAAACAAGCAGGAATTCTGGCTCTCACAGACCTGTACCTTCTTCTTTAAGAGGCTCCTCTGTCCTGCACTCATTACCTGTATCAATGGCACCTGTTTGAACTTGTTATCCGTATAAAAGACACCTGTCCACAACCTCAAACAGTCACACTCCAAACTCCACTATGGTGAAGACCAAAGAGCTGTCGAAGGATACCACAAACAAAATTGTAGACCTGCACCAGGCTGGGAAGACTGAATCTGCAATAGGCAAGCAGCTTGGTGTGAACAAATCAACTGTGGGAGCAATAATTAGAAAATGGAAGACATACAAGACCACTGATAATCTCCCTCGATCTGGGGCTCCACGCAAGATCTCACCCCGTGGGGTCAAAATGATCACAAGAACGGTGAGCAAAAATCCCAGGACCACAAGGGGGGACCTAGTGAATGACCTGCAGAGAGCTGGGACCAACGTAACAAAGG